TTGGGGGGGGGGGGGATTTCAATGATGTTATGATAGCAAATGAAAAATTAGGTGGTAACCCTATCAATAGAAGACGTGCTGCCAAACTATGGAATAAAATTAATTATTGCAAGCTCATGGACTTAGGTTTCAATGGTTGCAAATATACTTGGTCAAATCACAATAAAATTAGTAGAGACCGTATCATAGAAAGATTGGACAAACTACTAGCAAATAATGCTTGGGTGAACATTTTCCCTAAGGCATCCGTAATTCTCCTAGAATTAATTCCCAAACCTTTTAACTCTCTTCCAAAACCATTTAGACTAGAAACCTATTGGCGTGGTCACCTTGAATTTGGGAATATTGTTAAAGAATGTTGGCTCAACACGACTTTTGTTGATGCTTCAAGAGTCTTTAAAAATCGCATTATTGATTGGAAAAATGATACTTTTGGAGATCTTTTTAAAAAAAGAAAAGAATCCTAGCTAGATTAAACGGCATTCCAAAATCAAATTCTTATGGTTTTAGCCCTTTCCTAAATAATTTGAAAATCTCCCTCAAGTCCGACTATAACAACATCCTGAAAATGGAAGAAGATTTTTGAAAACTCTGATCTAGAGTTAGTTGGCTTAATGAAGGTGACTCAAACTCAAAGTTTTACCACATATGTGCTACTAATAATAGAAGAAATAACAAGATTATCTTTTTCAAAGATTTGGAGGGGAATTGGATAGATGATCCACAAAAAATTATGGAACAAACCCTCTCCTACTTTGAACAAGTCTTCAGAACTAGCCATAGCTACTCCAACTGGTCTTCTATTAAATCTGATCCCTTAAGTTACAAAAATTTTAACTTATCATCTCTAGACAATTCCATATCCCCTTCAGAAATTAAAAATGCAATATTTACTTTTAAGCTTTTTAAATCTCCTGGTCCGGATGGTGTTCACCCATTTTTCTTTCAAAAGTATTGGCATACTCTAAAAACCTCAGTCACAAACCTTTGTCACCAAACTTTTGAATCAAGTAACCTTCCAGCAGGCATCAATGATACTTATCTCTACCTCATTCCTAAAATTCCCAATGCAAATAATTTGAAGAACTTTCGGCTAATTGGGTTATGTAACACTATCTACAAGATCATTTCTAAAATTATAGCCAATAGACTAAAATCCTTTTTAGAGAATATCATTAGTCCTTACCAAGCCAGTTTTATTAAAGGAAGACGTACTAGTGATAATGCCATAATCATTCAGGAACTAATGCTTAAAACGCACAAATAATTAGGTTCTAAGGCAAATATGGCCCGGAAAATAGACCTTAAAAAGGCTTTTGACGGATTAAAATGGTCCTTTATATACAGAACTCTTCGTCATTTCAAATTTCCCACCAAAATCACTACCCTCGTTATGAATTGTATTATCACAAGCAGGATATATGTCTTGGTAAATGGTAGCAAAAGTAAGTTCTTCTCTCCTAGCAGAGGTATTAGGCAAGGAGACCCCCTATCACCATACATTTTTATTATTTGCATGGAAATGCTTTCCACTCAAATCAACTACAATATTGATATTGGAACATGGTCTCCTATCAAAATGGGAAAGAACCAATGCTAACTATCTCATCTTTTCTATGCGGATGACCTCACTCTAATGTGCAAGATTGACAAAAAATCCCCAAATACTATTCTAAACTGCCTAAATTCCTTTTTTAATATATCGGGCCAAAAAATAAACTTCTCTAAATCAAAATTAAGTGTCTCCAAAAACTGCCCTAAACATACATCCAAGGTTTTAGCAAAACTCTTTAACATTAATATTAGCAATAGTTTTGGAAAATATCTAGGCTTTCCAATCACTAATAACAAGCCTAAATCTATTGATTACTAATTTATCCTTGATAACATGACTAATAGATTGACCTCTTGGAAATCAAATTTTCTCAACATGGCAGGAAAAACTACCCTGGCCTCATCTACTCTAAACAGTATCCCAAATCATATCATGCAGTATAATTATCTCCCTATAAAAATTATCAAGCATATTGACAAAATCCAAAAAATATTTATTTGGGGCTCCACAAATATCTCAAAAAGAATTTACTTAGTTTCCTGGGATACAGTGACAAGGGACAACAACGGCGGGGGTCTTGGTATTCACTTAGCAAAAGAAAAACCTAGTAACTTTGGCTAACCTCACTTGGAGACTCATACATAACACAAATCATCCATGGTCAAAAATCCTATCTTCAAATTATGGCTCTACCAAGAATTTTAAAAACACTTCCTTCATATGGAAAAGTATGGTAAAAGGGTAGAAAATTTGTAACAAAGGATTAAAATGGATCCCCCACATGAACATTTGGGAATCGAACTGGATCCCTAAGTCCTCAAACATGAGGCATCTAATGGAGGGTCCTCTCACAATGTCTTGCAACAACCTTACCATCAAAGACATTTGGATTAATAATAAATGGGTACTGAAGAAAATCACCTTTGACCTACCCTAACATATCAGAAATAGTATCCTATCTGTTTATCCCATAGAATACTCAAATGACTCAATGTATTGGGAGCTAACGGGGGACGAAAAATTTTCTTCAAACAGTTGCTATAAATTAATTATCTCCAATGACAAAAACTCTACAGACTTTAGTTGGATTTGGGATATGCGCTGCCCAAATAAGATACAAATCTTATTGTGGAAATGTCTCCACAACAAACTCCCCACTCGATCCTACCTTAATCATATAGGCTTGAACATTGATCCTACTTGTCCAGTGTGTAAAGAGGAAAATGAATCCATTAAACACATTTTCACAAATTGCAAAGCAGTCCTTAATTACTGGACTAAGATAGGTTTAAATAGTTCTGCTCATCGAAATGATACCCACTGGCTTCAAAAAGTTAGAAATTTGAATAATAATACTTTCTCCCCTCATCTTGCATGAGAAGATCTATACCCTTTTGTTCTTTGGAGCATTTGGCTCAACCGTAATAACAATAATCATTCTAACATGACTATGAACTATAACCCACTCATGCAATATCCCTAGCAATAGAGTATAAGCTTCTCACTCAAAAAGAGCAACACACTATTCATTCCCGTGCAGTTGAAGTTGCATGGCACAAACCACAACCAAATATTTTCAAACTAAACATAGATGGTGCATTCAAAGAAAAAACAAATCTAGGAGGCATAGGAGGGGTATTTAGAAACCATAATGGCAAGTGGATAATGGGTTACCAACACACCTGTCCCTCAAGCTCCCCTCTCCAGGCTGAATTAGAGGCTCTCAAGGAAGGACTAAGTATCGCTCTAACAAACGGATACACACCTTTGGTCATCGAAATTGACGCAACGGAGGTAATTAAGGTACTAAATTCTAACTGTGTTCCCCACAATTCGATTCTTTATACTTGCAGGTGGTTAATGCACCAGCTGAAGCAGCCATCAATCAGCCATAACTTCAGGGAGGGGAACAAAGTGGTCCATAAGATGGCAAAGGAAGCCCTCAATCATGCAAGGGAACATCAACCACTTGGCAAACCACCCTCTTATATTTTAAATAATCTGGCAGCAGATAGGGCGGGTTATGTTTATTTTGTCAAAAATATTAGTATTGAAGTATGCTGTAAGTTATCCAACTTGGGAAATATAAATGTCCTTAAGGCTTGTAGTTTTTTGAATGATGTAACATACATTATTCCGTAACTTTTAATATATTATCCCTGTTTGTCAAAAAAAAAACTTTTAGGGACTAAAACGGCACTTATCGCTACCTCCGAGACCACTAAGTAAATCAGCAATTGTTCGCCTTCCTCCGGTTTTGATAGTAACGGAGGACTCGATAAATACCTTTTCAAATCATTCAAGGCCTGCTGGCATTCCGGAGTCCATTCGAAGTTGTTCTTACTTTTCAAAAGTGAAAAGAAGTGATGATATTTTTCTGAAGACCGGAAAATAAACCTACTTAAAGAGGCCATTCTTCCCATTAACCTTTGAACCTCTTTCACATTTGATAGCTGGTCGGGAATGTCCTCAATAGTTTTAATTTTATCGGGATTGACTTTGATCCCCCTTTGTGACACCAAGAAACCCAAGAACTTACCGAAGCTGACTCTGAATGCGGGGTTAAGCTTCATGTTGTGCTTCCTTAGGATGTTAAAGGTTTCTTGGAGGTGTTTTAGATGATCACCTGCGTTCAAAGACTGAACCAGCATATCATCTATGTAAACTTCCATTGTTTTCCCTATTTGTTTTTCAAACATTTTATTCACAAGCCTCTAATAAGTGGTTCCGGTGTTCTTAAGCCCGAAGGGCATCACATTGTAACAATATGTGCCAAAGTTTGTTATGAATGAAGTCTTTTTCTGATCCTATGGGTTCATTTTGATTTTGTTGTACCCGGAATAGGCATCGAGGAAACTCATCAACTCGTACCCGGCTGTCGCATCAATCATTTGATTAATGTTTGACAGTGGGAACGAGTCTTTTGGGAATGCCTTATTCAGATCCTTATAATTTATGCACATGCAAAGTTTATTATTCTTTTTTAGAACTACTACTACGTTAGCTAGTTAGTCGGGATACTATACCTCCCGGATCAAACCGATATCAAGCAATCGAGTTACCTCTTCTTTGACAAACCTATTTCTAACCTCGATAATAGGGCGTTCCTTCTGCCTTACCGGAGGGATATTAGAATCCAGGCTTAACTTGTGCACGTCCACCTCTAGCGGGATACTTGTCATATCCGCATGCGACTACACAAAATAATCAACAATAAATTTAAGAAATTATATAAATCCTGACCCAAGCTCGGGGTTTAGTCTTGTCCCCAAGTGAAATTTCCTCTCCAAGAACTTCTCAAACAATGCGACATGTTCGAGTTCTTCCCTTATGGATTTGGTTGCGTCTGTTTCTTCTGGTACCTGGAAATACCTTTGTACCTAATAAGATTCCGATGACTCCCCTCCTTTGTCGACTTTGTTTGGCTCGGGAGTAGGTGTTAGTTCCTGTAATTGCTATGTCGCATGTTCTTTCCCTTTGCTACTGGACACTGAGATCGCGTTCATCTCCCTTGCCGCCAGTTGATCTCCTTTTATTTGTTTAATTCCCTCTAGAGTTGGGAATTTCAGAAGTTGATGGTATGTCTACGGTACAACCTTCATCTCGTGTAGCCATGGTCTTTCAAGAATAATGTTATAACCCATGTCGCCATCTACTACTTCAAACAGGGTCGTCTTCATGACCCCTTTGGCATTCGTGGGCAGTAGAATCTCCCCTCGGGTTGTCACTCTCGCTAAGTTGAACCCGACGAGGAGCTTAGTGGCCGGAATAATGCTTTCGGTTATCTTGGCTTGTTCCAGCACTCTCCATTGGATAATATTGGTTGAACTTCCTGGGTCCACCAAAATATGTTTCATTTTAAAATCTAAAACATGAAGAGAAATTACCAGGGCATCGTTGTGCGGTAGTAGGAGTCATTGGCGTCCTTTTCCGTGAAGGTGATGTCGTCCTCGGCGACTTCCCAGATTCTTTTGTTATGGGTCACCGATATCTTTATCTTTTTTATGGTTGAAAAGGTTACACCATTAATCTCGTTCCCTCCGAAAATTATGTTGATCGTTAGACGAGGAAGATCTTCTCCCGTCTTCGAGGGTTCCGCGTTATCCCAGTTGCGGCCGTAGTTATTTTTAGCCCGGTCGCTTAAGAACTCTCTGAGATGGCCGTTTTTCAGCAATATCGCTACCTCCTCGTGCAAATATCGGTAGTCCCCAGTCCAGTGGACATTAGTCCCATGATGCTTACACTATATATTAGGATCCCTCTGATTGGGATCGGATCTTATCGGCCTCGAAAATCGTTCTTCCTTAATATTCACGTTACCAAATCCACCACGCTGAAATTCAAATTGCACTCGGACATTCTGGGGTTGGTGGAACTGGGAACCTGACGTCTCTTTGTCCTGTAATGATCTGTTATTCCGGTCATGGTCGACTCTCCTATCGGTAGTGAACCTGCCCGCAGATCGAAAACCTCTGTCGCGTACTTCAGCACTTTCGTAGGGCAAAATCTGACCTTTAGAAGACCGTCGATTTGTGTCGAAATCATTCTTTAACTTTTCCTTATTCTTCTCTCGGTCCTGACCCTTGGTTGATGCCGGAAAACCGAGCTGGTCATCCTTTATTCTTATCTTCAATTCGTAGCGGTTGTGGACATCTATCCATGTTGTCGCCTTGAACTCGAGAAGACTTTCTTTCAGTTTTCGGGAAGCATCAGAGCTCCTCGGGTTCATCCCCTTAGCATATTCCTCAACTTTCCATTCATCTGGCACTACCGGTAGCAGCATTCTTTCCTTCTAAAATATGGTCACGAACTCTCGCAGCAGCTCGGACTCTCCTTGGGCAATTCTGAATATGTCGGCCTTTCGGGACTGTACTTTCCTGGCCCCTGCATGGGCCTTGATAAAAGAATCTGTGAGAATCTCGAAGGAATGTATTGAGTGCTCGGGTAAAAGTGAATACCATGTCAGGGCCCCCTTCGTGAGGGTCTTCCCGAACTTCTTCAGCAAGACTGACCGAATCTCGTGCTGAGCCAAGTCGTTTCCTTTCACCGCCATTGTGTAGGTGGTGATGTGCTCCTGAGGATCTGAAGTCCCATCATATGTTGGCACGTTTGGCATTTTAAACTACTTCGGGATTAGCTCCGGTGCCGTGCTTTCTTTGAACAGCAACTGAGTATATTTCTTTGAGTCCGGTACTTTCAACGCTGGCAGTGCGTGCTGGATTTGGTTCATTGGGGCATTTATTTCCCTCATAAACCGCATGAGTTCAGTTTTAGAGGGATCATTCCCATTATTGTTACTAGATACGCTCCCATTCCCCCCGGCCCCGTCGAAGCCGACCTCACCCCTCGGGGTGTTGTTATTAACCCTTTGTGCTGTTTGATTTGCGGGAGTACCGGGAGGAACTAGACCTCTTCCATTTGCATTGTTGGAAGCACCCGACAACACTTGCCTCAACTCTGTCATGACCTGATCTTGTCGCGAGAGATGGCACATAATAGCCTTTTGTGTTCCCTTAGGATTCTCACTGTTTTTGCAACGTGCTCGTCTTCAGCTTCATCAGGAGTTGCCTCCCGAACGTGCCATGGATATTTTCCGGCATGGATCGGCGTGGCTACATCCTCCTCGTTGCGAGTGTCACTGATCGAATCTTCGTGTTGAGGCTGATTTTCGTGGGCCTCAACGTTGTGCGTGATGTTGACATCATTATCTGCCACTTTTTACGATTTTTTGCTAAGAAATAAAGAATTAAACAGGCTAGTAATAGACGCAAGGATCAACCCAATTATGCAACTGTCTAAGCCCCACGGTGGGCGCCAAATTATTTACCCGTAAAACGGTACAGTTGAATTTGAACCGTGATTTATAGACAAGCGAATTGATTTGATCCCAAAATAATAAATAAATTAAATAAAATACAAAACTTAACGTTGAAATCGAGATAAGACAGCAAATAGGGAACAGAGCTTTCGAAGGCAGTAATACGAATATCAATAGACAAAAAATAAAGTATTATTGAGCTTTTGAATAGTATATAGCATATGTTTGTCAGAAAATTTGTGTCCCTTACAATGACTGTTGAAGTCACTATTTATAGCTATACCTAGGGGTGTTCATAAAAATTCAAAAAATCGAACCAAACCGAAAACCAAACCAAACCGAGCAAAAAAATCGATATTTTTTAGGTTTGGTTTGGTTTTGGTTTTAAATTTTAAAAATCGATCAAATTTGGTTTGGTTTTGGTTTTAATTAAAAAATAACCGAAAAAATCCAAAACAAACCGACTATAAAAGTAACTATTTTAATTTATTATTACGCCTATATATATATGTATATTTTTATATAAATTTTCTAAACTTTTATGGTACATATTAGTCGTTTGTATTTTTAGTTTAGTTCTTTTCTATTATAATAATCTAACTCTTTGCATTTACATTCTAGTTTGATTGGTAGTTTTATTTTGTTAAGTATAAGATTTTATTTCATGTTAAAAATAATTAATTTTTAATTGAGTACTTAAATTATATCACTATTTGATTCAATTATCATCAATATATGTTGGTAAAGGATAGATTTCTCAAATAGAAATTGGTTTGATATTGTTACATTCAAAATGTAGTCGCCGGAATATGTGTTGGGTAGTGTATGTCTCATATTTAAGAAAAAATCGATAAATAATCGAAAAATCAAAAAACTGACAAAAACCGAATCGATAAAAAACTGACTTAATTGGTTTGGTTCCAATATTTGAAGAACCGACTTACTTGGTTTAGTTTCTTTTTAGGGAAAAACCGACTCAAACCGAACCATGAACACCCCTAGGCCTATACCTAGGAAACAAGGTCCTAGGATCAAGCCCCTCTTAAATGACAATTATGGGGCTCATTGATGAATATGTAACGGCAGGTTATGAATGCCAAAATTCTCTATAATGGACTGTGCATTTAATAATGAAGAATATTCTTCATTGAATGCTCTCAGGTGGCAAATATTCGTTTGTCTTCATTAGCAACATTCCCTTCGGGGTCTTCCTCGTGCCAACATAAGCTATTGTCCCCGATCTTAATTTCTATTTGCCTTGCTTTCCGTCTGTCTCCAGTTCCCCGTGTTGCTCTATTATTTGAGTATTTAATACGAACCAATTTTATCC